ACAAATTCTCATGATGTATCTTTGTTTTTAATCTGTAGGCTACCCAAACCAAAATTAACTTGTGGTTTTATGGGTTGTTACATGCTTTAAATATTTCTTGGTCCCACCCAGTCTTCATGCTAAGCTAAGCTTACTACCAGCAATAGCTACTACTCTCATGTTGATACGGTATGTGAAACTACTGCCAGCAGCCAGTTAGCTTAGCCTGGGATTAAAAAAAACACTAGCCTACCTACCATTATAGCAGCACCTCTAAAGCTCATTAATTAACGTGATATATCTTGATTATGGTTCATAATGGGAAGTTTAATGGGGAGTTCTAAAAAATCTTGTCATTGTGAGGTTGCCAAATTGCAGGGGAAAAAACAAGACACAACATGTTAATTATTTAGTTATTAATTAGTGAGCTTAAGAGATGCTGGTATCATTCAAAATGTCGTCATTTGTAATATTGTAGTAAATGTTATTTTTGTTTTTATTAGTCTATAATCACCTGAACATAGAAATTGTTGTGTTTTTGTTACTTTAGAATGAGTCTCTCATATCTACAGATGCCGCAGGTCGCCTTCTATGGAGGCTGCATGTTGAACCGCCATGTTTCTACAGTAGCCTAGAATGGACAAACCAAACACTTACTCTTGATAGGGCAGTTCATGTTTTTGTGTGTTACGTGGCTGGGTGGGTGAAGGGTGGCAATCTGCAACTACACTGCTAAATGCCACCAAATCCTACACACGTGTCACTTAAATTAACTTTCAGGAAATTTTCAAATTGGATCTTGCCATCTTATCTAGTCCAGTTCTCACCATAGAGCTGATCTAGTGGAGCTAGATTTGGTCCATCAGGTTTGGCTAAGCACTGCCCATATGGGTGCTGCATGAGGAAAAATCACTCCGTGAGATGAAGCCCTGTGACGTAAAACTCATTATCTCTCCCTCCAACCGTCTTCATCCCTTCAGCCCCTCTTTTTGCCCACACTTCTATTCCCTCTATCTCTGAAGATCTGTCAGTGCCTAGCAACGTGCCTCACCACGTTGTCAGGGAAGTGTTTCCTATTGGATATGTGTGTGCGTACTTCATGTGGCACTTCTGTTGTAAGCCCTGTGTTGTATGTTTAAATTGCCTCAGGTGCGTGCAGGCAGTCCAGCAAATGCCTTAACCCTTTGTGTTCCCATGCACGGTCTCTATGAATTTGAATATGTCATTTTATGAAACGCACATGCACTATGAATACATGCTTATTCTTCATTTGTACGTCTTACTTCCTGTTTGCCTTCTTATCCAAATTCCATTGCTATTTCTCCCACCCTTTCTTGTTCTTCTCTTGCTTTGCCACCTTTATCTTCTTTTTTTGTCTTTCCCTCAATGTGTACATTCATTCATCGTTTCCCCCTCTTTCTTTCTCTCCACCTTTCAAAATCCTGGATAAGGTAGCCATGGAAACGCAGTCGAAGTGTGCTGGTGACAAAATAGATTTTGTACAGGCCAATCCATGGATTACTTACCTACCTTACACCAGCTCGTTCTCATTCCCAGGTCGTCAAATACCAACGTTTTGTCACTACACACACACACACACACTAAAACTTTCTCTTCTTTCATCCCTCTCAAGGGATAGCCTTAATCTGTTGCTATGGAAACCAACATGGAGGGATGAATCCCTCTAGAAGAAACTTTGAAGCACTTAAAAGACATAAGCATGAAATAGTGAGCGTTTTAAGAAGATTGTTCTGTTGGTTAATTTACACCCCTCCACTGATAACACTGAGAGTCAGGTTAGTATTTTTCCTATTACTATTTATATTATTTATAGTCACAGTAAGAAGATACTCCTGTACTGCAGGTTTATCCTCCACGGTTGAACCATCTATCAGGAACACAGCTCAGAGACATACTGCTGCACCGACCAAAGTTATTTCAAAAAAACGTGTAGTAGATTTTAAGGTTACTGTACGAAGCCGAGGGCATGGCAGCGGCAATCATATCAGAAGCAGTTCCAATCCTGACAGAGCTGAATGTGAAAAGGTCAAAACACATTTCCGGCCAGAGGTTACTGCCGTGTAAGTATTAAATTTGGAGATAGGTGTTTGGTACAGTGGTTCACAATGATGAAATGCTAGTTGTTTTTTGTCTGGAAGCACTGTCTACAATGATTATCCTGTTGAACCAGGTGTTCTCTCAGTGAGGATCGGATCCAAATTCCTGCAGCTAATATGGTAAAATGGTTTCACATTTTGTTCTCAGAACAAAAAAGCCATCGAAGATCATATTCGTGAATATTTATGTGTCACATTTAAAGTGTCTCACTGTTTGAGAAACAACTGTTGGGTTTGTTAATGAATCACCACATTACTTATTCCTTATAGCCTCTAAACTCTTGCTATGAAAATCATTCCAGTTTAATGACAATGAATTATTCCTACTGCTTATCTCCCACCGACCTCCCGACAAGTATCTGTAAAACAAACATTTCCCAGTTTTAAACTTTCACTACCAAATAGTTCTGGTTTTCACCACAAATAAAATAATCATTCTAATATTATACTTGTTTTCAGTCATTACAAAGAAGTTTATCACATTCTCTTCCACTCTTCCATTATTACCTAACCCAGAATTAAAACATAAACAATGCACCACACGTCTGAATTCAACCTGATATGAGTCATACACAAGCGTCACAGTCAGTGACACTAATTGTTTCCGCCTACGGTGTTTCCCTAATTGCATTACATGTATGCAATTAGGAAAACACTCAACGCAAAAATGTAGGGTCTTGGTTTGGGCATCCCAGTTTGGGGGTTAAAAATATGGTCACTAGTAGTACATTTTCCTTTGCCAATTTACTAGAAATTTGGTTAAAATTTGCAATACATTTGGAAGGAAGGACATCTTCCATAACAATAATAATGTTGACATGCTGATGCAAAGTAAGTATCATGTTTGCCATGTTTACCATCTTAATTTAACATGTTAGCCAGCTGACATTTGCTAACTGGTCGTAAACCAGATACCTGTGAGCCAAAGCATTGGACAAATTGATGATGGCAAAGAAAAGTTAGGGAGTTAGGGTAATTGTAATTGTATGTGGATGTTTGTACCAAATTTTATGGGAATCCATCCAATAATTGTCAAGACATTTTACTAAAAATCACAAATTTCAACCTCATGGAGGCAGGAAGAGTCAGAGGATCGCACTGAACTCATTAGCATTCATCCTCTGTGCACCATGAATGTCACAGAATTTCATGGCAGTACATTTAAGAGATATTTCAGTCTGGACCAGGTTTGGACACAAGAACTTTGGCTATTGGTTTAAAAATATCAAGAAAAACTGCTTCTGAACATACGGGATTATCAGAAAGGTTTTATTTTAATGAATCCAACAGCAGCTTTGTATTATGTGATTCCTTGGATACGCAAAGTTACAAGTGTTCCGGCTGTTTTCATTTCATTTGTGAGGGAACAGATTATTTTGGCTGTCCAGGGCCTTCCGGCCCACAAAACCTTTGCACACAACACATACAGAAGACAGACACACTCAACCAGTTTCTTTTGTGGTTGGTGGACTGGTATTTTTTATCATTACATCTTGACTTGTACTGCTTGGACTGGCAACCTTCCCCTTCACCACAACACATATTCATTTTGTATTGCTTAACCAGCTGCTTCTCAATCCCTGGGAAATTTTGGAGGATCTTCTTTGAAATTGCAACCTGTGTGGCTTAATGAAATTACTTTACTAGGCAAAGGAACGCCCCCCCCCACACCACACACAACACATTTTGGAAAGCCCGCCATTAATTGATTTCCACCAAGGATTACTGATGCATTAA